GTTTCTGAAAAACTGGTTTTCCAGAAAACCGGATCTTCAAATTGGGCCCGAATCCTTTTAGGCTTTTTATTAGCTCGATATACTCTATCGATTGAGGTATAACTCATTAGAAACGGAGGGTATCACCTCGGGAGGTTCTCTCGTGATTGTACTCGAAGAGTTGATTTTAACAAGAGAATTTTTATTTTCGATGTAGACATTATATTTAAATATTTCTACGTTTAGATGTGGAATTGTCACTAATTATAGTTGTTGTTTTTTGTTATATTATACATGAATATTAACGGTAGTATGCATCGTTTGTATCACCTTTACCTAAGCAAACCTCAGATATTGCTTGATTCAAATTTATCTGTTAAAAAGGATTAAGCATATTTGAACAATCTGAAATCAATAAGAGTAACAAACCACTTTATATGTATATGACATGAACGAAACGGAAACAAAACTGATTAAGCGTAAAAATGCACTAAATGTTAAACACAAACGGATGTTTATCAATTTTTTACTTTTTCACTGAGAATATAAGCTTATATTTCACTATGTATGTTATAGAAAAAACCGGCAAATGTTTTACATTTATATACCTGGATAGAAATTTAAAAACATATGTGCCTCTTTTTTTTATCTTACCCTTTAATACGAGTAATGTAACTGATATACTTGGATATAATATTTATTTTTTGAATTTTTCTGAATGACAATTAAATTATTCAAAGAGAAATGAATATCAAAATAATATTTTTCACACAAATTGTCATACATAAAAATGACGTTCTAACGATAGATGATTTTAAGAAAGAAAGAATCATGAATTGTTGCGAAACAAAAACAAAAGTCATGGCCAGTAAAGAATGAAGAGACGTGCTAAAACAATCTGTTAAAGAACATTCTCTACTCTCAAATAACTGCTATTTTTACTATAAATGAACGTTCAGATTCTATTAAATGAAAAATTTATTGAGATTCGTATAGATAGAGTTCATCATTCCGTTTGTCTTGCTTGGATAAATTCTATACTGTTTTATCTTATCGATGATTTAAGGATACTCCTCACCCTCTTTTTTTGAAAAAAAATTGTTGATTTTCAAGTTGAATATAGTCTAAGGTAGAACAAAACCGCTTCAAACGACAGTTCCAATGTTTTCACGACCACTTTCATAAAAGTTATGAATTTTTTAATTTTTAGTTTTTAAAAGCTAAAAAGACTCAGTTGCTTTAGTTTCAGATCGAACGTTACTCCGCTTTTAAGCATTCATTTATAATAAATATAGGAGTTATTTGTTTCTTTAAAAATCAACAAAATGCTGTTGTAATTAAAAGACTAAACATAAAAAATATTTTCGTAATTAAAAAGCTATTTTAACTTTGAAGACTTGAAGAGAAGGTAGAGTTGATGAGGGTTGACAACAAAGATAAAAGAGTCTAACATAAGTAGACGTTCTGCGTCCCAAACCTTGATCGTACTTTTGTACCTATTGTTAATCCATTTTATTTTTCAAAAATACTCTGTATTCATAAAGAAATTCGAACCAAAATATCAATAAAAAAGATATATATTAAAAAACTAGCTAATTATACATTCACTGGTCATAGTCAACACAATAGTAATGACAGTGTTCATCAATATTTCCTTATTCTCATGTTAATACTCATTGGTGGTAACGATTGTTCAAAAAGTATTGGTCTTCAGCTTATCTTCGAAGAATTGATTATCCCTAGATTAATTTTAGATGACACTCAGTCACATGCACTTTGACTTGTAGCACTCAATAATATGTTTTTCTTTTTCTTTTTTTTTATTGTCCAATTGATATTGCCATCGTGTTTTATCTTTTTCGTTATATATTTATTTGGCTAGCTTGATTGATTTTGATTTGAAAAATAATTTACGTATACTTGTCTTTTTTGTCGATTGTTTTGATGTTGGCAATGAATGCTCTTGTTGTGCCATTGACGAAAATGTCGAACTAAAATTAAAGAGAGAAATTTATCCATGTTTCGTCACGTAGTGGAATAAACATAAACTAAGATAGTGTTAACAAAAACAGTTGGATGAACGTATAATCTTTCTAAACTCCAGACCGTTACTAGCCGAACAGCGAAGCGAGCACTATGATGTTCTCTTATAGGTCACGGAAAGCTTGCCAAACCTATTACGTGACTGGCGTCGTTAGCGTGCGAGCATTATATCTTAGAAATACGATGTCAAGCCATTTACTAGTCTAACCACACTGTTCTCGAATATGATTTGACTGTCTGAATACATGTACCGTAATTCTGTAGTTTAAAACGATAGTCCCTGCTATTCATTCTTGCTCAAATTGACCAGTGTGTATACTCGAATAAAACTTAGTATCGATATGCCTGATATACAAAATCCACTAATTATATTTGAAGGATAATTTTCGGGATATTATTCCTAATATATGAAGCCGTATTGAATAATACTATGTACCGGGACCAGGATTAGAAGTTTAAAAAGTGGAGAAAAATTCGCTTTTCGAATTATTTGTAAGGCAAAAAACTATTAGCTGCAATAAAGATGCATTTTAAAATCAGCAGATTCAGCAAGGGTGGTAATTTACTTTATATGAATAAATTCATTCACTCATTCATTCATGTAATAAGATGCACTAATAGGAAATAAAGTTTATCAAAAGTTGATGCATTCGATCAAGAAGGAGAAAAAGATAAAATGAAAAAAACTAAAAAGCGGAAAACGCGGAAAAAAGTTCAGAAAGCGGAAAAAGTAGCAACTCTGATCGTCAGATTTTTGTGGGTGTAATCTAGATTCATTAATGAATGGTATAAAATTTTTTCCTTTTTATGTTTGCAGGCTAGGCTCTAGCACATAGTTGAGACCACTTTTTTTCAATGCTTATTAATTAGATTTAGAAAATGGTCTCAATTTGGCATAGAGAATTTGTTCTTTTTACACTGTTTATAATTAATAAAAAATACTACAGAACAATCATGTTTTAGGTATATACTCATCATCATCTCTTATGTTACAATCATTATCTAACACTATATAGCGATAACTTAATGATCGTAATATTGCTTGAAAAGCTTCTAAATCCAAACTTCCATTCAAATAATTTTTCTTTGTTTCAGTTAACCGGAGATCATTGTTAAGAGTTCTTCTCTTTCGTGGATGCATAATACGTTCTTGTTTTGACTCATTCTACAACACGTTTTTTAATTGAACTGATACAACTTATAGTTTCGAATCATGCATCGGAGAATGAATACCACTATTGTCAATACTACTACTACCAATTACTGCACCATCTTTTATTGTTAGTGAACACGAATTGAATTTTGGGTTTCGTTTTTATTTGAACGTTTTAAACGACACAGATAGCTTTTATATAATATACCATCCTGGTTCTTTTCAGTTTTAATACAAGAAAAATATACAGTTGTAGACAGGACAGAATTCATAGACGAAATCGGATTGAGATATTGTGTTTCAAGATAATGCTACTCTTTCTTATCCGATCCAGTTAATATCACTCTCAGATCATTTCGAAAGTGGATGCGACAGTTTCATGAAATATCTCCATCTATTTCTCTCCCTACAGTAGACAATCATTCCAAATTACGTAGTAATGCGAAATTATAAACAGTGTACAAAGTGTATAAAAAGAACAAACTCATACCACTTTTTGAGTCTAATTAATAAGCATAGAAAAAAAGTGATTCCAATCATGAAGCCACGGCTTTACATACTACTACTCTAGAATACCGTATAAAGTGCTAGCTGAAGAAAGAACTGGTCCATGAAAAATCATCTAACATACGTTTAAAATTGGTTTTGATCTGTCATTGGTGAAAAAAGACCAAAAAGTGTTGGAAGAAAAGAATGTATGTATTATGAATGAAACCAAAGTCTAAGTATTGACTTTTCTTAATATTATTGCAAGAATTAATCGCATTCTACAAAATTTAATCAAATTTTTTGAAGCAACGTTTGCCTTTTTTGTTTTGTCTACTGAAGTTTTAAACGCTCATCCCTCATACAATCAACGATAGATATTTATGTGTCACGTACGAGTGCTAACAATTATCTAAAAACTCATAATATATATATATATATGTGTAGAAAATATTGAATACAGTAAGAAAATGATGAAAAAAGCACAGGTATTTGATGTTTTTACAAAATATGTTCGGCATAGTTAAAATTAAAAGGCATTTGTTCAAGACTTTCTTAAATCAGAAACATCAAGTATTTCATGTATTTGTTTATTTACTCTTTCAAATGAAATATAAATTAGCCCAGACTCGAAAAGGATTTTAATGTTGGCAATTTGTAGAACAAATATTTCTGTTTAAAATGAGATATTTTCCAGCTCTGAGCGATGCTTTGATCAAAAGTTATGGCAGTTTCAGTGAGAGCCTTGAAATCTGTATCAAACACATCATATCTCGGACGCTATCATATCTCAAATGAGATTTATTTATCGGTGGCGAACACTATGGCAAAGATTTCTCCGTTAGCTAGGGGAATTTGTCAGATGAAGTTAGAATTACAACTTAACAGAATAGAGTTTTTTGACTGTCTACCGAATTTTGAAGAAAAATCAAATTTTTCTACTAGTAAGTCGAAATCTTCTCCAACCTTTTGGATATAACCTTTAGGGAAAACAAAAAGCTTTCAAAAGTCCGGCTCTATTAAGTTGTAGCATCAAATTTTTGCTACATTTTGAGACCACTCCAGACTCTTCATCACTTGAATTGACGTAGAAATGTTTGCTGCATGAATACCTACCTTTTTTAAAGATAACTCTGAGAAAACATAATATTTCTAGGTTAAATTGTTAGTATCATCCTTCTAGAGTAAGATACACATACTCTAAAAATTTTATCAAGATTAAATGTTCTGGCACAAAAGTAGGTTTCTGACAAGGATGACTTTAACATCATAATGTTAATATATATATATAATGTTAATATAATGTTAACATAATGTTAATATATAGATATTTTAGGAATTATGTATCCGAATGAGCTTCTCCATTGGTCAGTATTTGACCTCTGTATATTTACATGAAATTTTAGATTATTAACTATTGTGTTTATGTGTTACAGAGAAGTACTTACTTCTTTATTAATGGTGAAGAGGCTGTAATTGCTTCTAAGTCATTTGTTTCATCTTCACTTTCTTCTTCGACTAGATTAGTGCACATTTTACTTTGAACTTTTTTATTTGTCATACGACCACGATACAGATTCGGTTCCGATATTCGAAATAATGATCGTTTTTCTTTTATTTTACTCGAACAGTCGTCTATATCATGTGTATAAGCATGATTTGTACAATAGTAATTATTATTCGGTTTTGTTGTTGTTGTTGAATCGAATAGAGTTAATAGACTATGACGATTATCAAATAATTGTTGTTTATTTAATCGATGTTCTCGTAATGATTTTGTATAAATCCATGAATTTTCTTCTGCAACATTTAATGATGATTTTATTAGTGGTGGATGTCGTTCACAATATAGTGGTACAATGATATATCGACAATTCGATGTCGATCGTAAATCATCTAATGTTAAACAACGTTCTTCAAAACGTTTTTTTAAATCCTCAGTATAAATCCAAGAATTTTTTGATGATGATAATGGCATCGCTAAAGTCAATTCAGAATAATTTATTTTTTCTTGTAATTTACTGTTATCATTGATTGTAGATAAATTATCGTATGTTGAACATTTTTCTCGTTTTTGTTGTTGTTGCTGTTGTTGTTCACTACGATTAGCTTGAGTTGTTTCAATAGCAAGAAATCCATACCATAGAACCATCAAAAATCTAATGAATAATAGATTTCTTTTTAATATATTGTATAATATTTTTAGTCCTCTAATATGATAGTAAAAAGAAAAACAGTCAAAAAATAGAGAAGAAAAGTCTTGAACCAATTTTCATTTACAGTTTTCTATGTTTTCGATAGATCTGTAAATAATCTAGAAAAGAAAAAAAAATTGAACGATTTTCATTCCTTTTTTTTTCCTCTTTTTCTAACATTCTACATATTTTGGATACAGTTTAAAAAGAAACTAACATTGAAATAGAGAAGAAGGTATTTGGTTTACTCTCAGTTCGTCCCAAATTGCTCACTCTCACACCTGCTTTAATGAAATATAAGAGAAAAAAATTCAACAATACAAACGTTAACTCTGTGAATGTGACGCGAAAAAAAGGCGTCTTCTCATTTAGTAAAATAAAAGAATAAAAATAAAAAGAGAAAATTAAACACTAATTTTGTTTTATTCATCAAATATATGTCTTTTGTCTAGATAATATAATAAGCGAGGTAAAGAAATTTGAAAAGAAATTTTTTTTTTTTGTTGTTTTTTTACAATAAAAATTTTTAAAAGTTAAATAAAAAAGATTTAGACAAAAGATAATTACCTACTTCCCTCATTTCTTTTACTTTCTAAAAATTCATGTATCTGTCAAATTGACTTCTTTCTGATTATTTTTTTTATATTCAATGTTTCCTATACTATTTTAAATATTCTATTTATAGAACTATAGTTGAAATTATGATATAATGACATTATTCAGGTCAATGAATATTGAAATAGAAAATATCTATCTAGATATTTTATGATGAATTATCTATGAATCTAAATGTCTACTCTTCTTTTAGTTGTTAATTGATAGTTTGAATAACTTATTATTTTTATCTAACTTACTGTTAAGATTTGCCCATTATTCGCTAATGCATTTTGTTCTTTTTTTTTTTATAATAAACACTTTCGATTTATTCATGCACGAATTGAACTTTGACTTAGTTTAGACTTGATAATACAGAAAAGTTTTTGACGTTTCATTATTCTTTTCATGGAAAAAAAAAATGGCCAGATTGTATTATATCATTATACAACAGTTATTTGAATAGCGCACATATGCATCTGTATAATCTTCTTGTTTTCTCTCTTCACAGTTTCAAGGAAAAAAAAAAAAGAAGAAAACAAAAAAAAACAAAAAAGAAGAAAAAAAATCACTCTTCTATATGTTTTCGAAGTGTGGAACTAAATTACCACACAGAATATATCTATCTGATTTTGTCTTTTTATTTTATTTTTTTTTGTTTTTCTCTCTCTAAATGTTTCCGTTTTTGTTGAACATTTATTATCTTCATACTATATATTAGATGTGATGATGAGCATACCAATTCTTTCTCTCTTGACAGAAATATAATAATCTCTATGTTTTTCTCTAATTCGAATAAATTAATCTAATCAACATATAATAATCGCTAAGAATAAACATCATTTCATAAATGCCAAGTATCTTGTTATACATACTCTATATCTTTATTTTCTAAATAATCATAATAAAAAAAACATTTGAGTCGGCAGCAATTTTTGTTAAGAATGATAAGATCGACCTGTTTGATAAAATCAGAAATATCAAATATCAAATCTATAATTTATAGAATTTGTCCATCTGTTCTATGTTTTTTATTTAAGTGTTTACAAACTGTTGAATATAATATATACAAGTAACTATTAGGAAAAGATAAAAAAGATAGTCAACCAAAGAGTATATGTCTATTAGTAACAACAATATTAATATATTTGACTTTTTTTTTCTTCTTCTTCCATTTCGTCATACGACTATTCCCCGTAGCGTTAAAACGTTTCCTCACTTTGTTTGTGTACTATAATTAACTGAAAAATAAATTGTGAAATGAAGAAGATTTTTTTTTTATTGAAGTTTAATTTTTTAAGTTTCTTTTTAGATTTTAACATTGTCTAAAATAAAACAAAAACAGAATTTTGTATTTCTTTTAGAAAAAAAAAAAAGCACTTTATTTTCTAAAAAGTCAAAACGATTCTTCGATAGAATAACTATTAGAAAAGAAAATTAACCGTTAGTTAATAAACGATTAGAAAAAAAATTGAAGGAACACTTTCCATATATATTAGAGAATCACTTAATATTTTTATATTTCGATGAAAAATGATTTTTTCAATCGATTTTTTGATTTAAAAAATTGAAAGAACTTCTTCAAAAAAAATAAGTATTTGCAAGAATGCAGGAATAGTTTAAGATTTCATAATTATAGACAAGTATCTTATGACTAAAAATATCGACTCTCTCAACAGCATACATATCGGTATAAGATATTTTGTACATAAAAAGAATTATTTTAAGTTTATCTTAAGCGTACCGATATTCATAATTTCGTTTGTAGTAAAGTTATCTGTTCAATGAAAAAGTTTTGTTAAAAAAAACCTCTTACAAACAGTGCCGTGGCTAAGGGGAGTGGGGGTGTAGACTTCACCTGCTTTCGGAAAGGAAATTCTCTTCTTACCAATCTCTTTTCTCCCAAGAATTTCGTCTGAGGTCTTGTCCAGATTTGGTAACTAATCTAATGAATATTTAACGAAAACATTCTCCCACTTTGTCTCCCAAAATACTTGAGAGTAAAATCTTTCATCCACTTTTCTTCAATGAGGAAAAAAGCTCAAATTGATGTCAACATTATCATTACCATTTAGTATTTAGTGTTGAAAGAATGATGTTAGATGGTGTTGTGTTCTCCTACTTCTATGGTTTTCTTCCAAAAAATCTACACTCCTTCTATTTCTTCTCTCTCGCCACGACACTGCTTACAAACGTGGTTTCATTTAAACCAAAACTTAACACGTTATTTCTCATTATTTGGTGAGGGTGTAACATGTAACGGGTAAAAATAAAAATTTGTTTAACTCATTCTCTTTTTACCCTACTAAACTAACACGTTTAAACTTGTTCGAAATGGAGACGCGCTTTATTTTATAGAACCAAAAATGAATCCATTTTCCATCTTTACATTTCTTTTCCTTTATTTTGGTCCGATTGAAGCGATCTTGGTCTTATTCAAAAGACCTGCACGGCTTCATCTATCTGTAGTCTACTAAGCAGAGCATAGCTAGCAGTTAAAATTTTAAGCTCAGTATAAAAAAATACGGAAATGACAGACAGCTTCTTCTCACTATTTGTCATCCATCAAAACCTATTTTGCTTTCCTTTTCTCTTGAACGTACTTTAGGCATTGTGTATTCCACTTTATCATGCTCTGCAAAGATACACAAAGCTACTCAAGTTCAAATGTTCTATTAAGGCAATTCAACTTCATCTTGAAACCATTGTTTTCTTCAAATTTTTTGCAGATAAACCGAGAAATTTTGTTTTTTTTCGACTATGCCAACTTTTAACTGAAGATCAAATGAATTGTGTATTCCAGCTAAATATCCACGGTAAAAAACGCATAAACGAGAGGAATTCAGACAAAAGTAGGGAGAAATCTGACCTTACCTTACATGGAGGACTGACAGATGCACTTTGCTAAATTCTTCAGCTCATTATCGTAATCCAAGAAACATGTATGACATACAACGATTAATGGTAAAAAATTATTGAGGCTCAGTTTTCAAGAGATCATAGTATTTCTGGTCGTAAATTTATGTGAGAGAGAGAGAGGGTTAAACCAAAATATATCAGTTTCTAGATACACTTCAACTCTTCTGTTCCTTAGAATAATACATGAGAAGTTTCATAAAATACCTATCAGACATAATATATGTTTGGAAAATTAACTTTTGACAGGATTCTCGTATGTCTACGATGATTAATTTGTCCCTATATTATATCACATTTTCTGAACTGAATTACTCTGTCATCTTCATCATGTTAACAAACCTCGATATATCCATATATAATTGATAAGAAAATATATGACTCAATCTGACATGAGTTATTGAAGAGGTAATTTGAACATAAACATTTATTTATTGTCCCTGTGTAATAAGGTTGACAATTTAGACGAAAAAAGAGATAGATAATATACAAAACAGAAAAGGTATATTCAATAAAAGAGAAGATTTTTGACATCAGTCTGATAGTGGTAGTGAGAAACAACAAATAAGAAATGAGAAAAAGAAAAAAATACATAAAACATTAAGCACATAGGTAAATTTCAATATTTTGATTATAGCAAGGAACTGTTAGACATATAATCTAATAACATAAAAGCGTAGTAAAATTCGTATTAGACACCTCAGAAACTAAATCCTAGACCTATAGAATTATATGTTTGTTTATGGGGGTTGTAGAAAAAATTTATATATAAACATGTGAATATAAGGGGAATATTTGTAGCATCCATATTGTGGAATATGATTAGAAAGAAATTCAATGATATCCAGTTTTGTGTGTTTAGCTCGGCTTGTAAGTCTACACATAAACTTATTTTTCCTGCAAAACAGTACAGAACGCCACCAACTCCTTTGGGGGTTTTTCGCCGCCAGAAATGCTGCCCACGTCAACTGATACTGCGTCGCTTCATGTGCTGTCTCTAAGTATTTACTGTACTTAATCCAATAACGATACAAATAATCTCGTATAGTGAACTCCTGGGATAAAATTATAGTAGTCATATCATCCCAGCTATATAGGTTATAAACAACTCTTAGACCTGAGTGGAACACGTGCTCGATGTATTTTTGCTGAATATCGGTAAAAAAAATCAAGTTGAAAATAAAAAGATCAAGTGTGGTAGCGCATAAGCCATTAGCTTATAGAATAATATACGTCGAATATTTATAAAAATTACTGGAATATTCCGGAAAATTATTCTTAACGCATTATATATATTTTTTATTAAACGTATATACATAGCAATAAAAATCCCCCATTCGAGTTTAGTTGTTATATATACTGCGAGATATTTAAAAAATTTGACATATTCAATCTGTATACCACGGTACTTAATAATCGGATAGCATGGTGAAACAACACTGTGAAC